ACATTATGGGAATACTTCCCAGATAGCATGCGGATGTGGGCCACTTCTGACAAATGTGTGGCACTGCTGGCCCGGTTTCAGCACCGGCAAACGGATGTATGTCAAAAGTGGCCCACTTGTGATTAGACAAATGTGGCCCAAATGTCACAAAACAGATATGGGCCACATGTTAGATACTTTATTAAAAAATAGTTATATGGCTTCCGGCTCTGGCCCACCTCTGGCAAAGGTATGGCAAATATGCACTTGTGTTTTTGGAAAAAGAAATGTTTTCTAGATGTAATGAGTGTGCTATTTGGACAGAGACAGAGCACATTACATTATTTAAATGCATTATTAAACACTTATGCAACATTATAATGAACTAATATGTTTCATTGTACTATACAATGAAACTATTGAAAAATAAAAATAATGCAGTACTAGCTGCATTATTTTAGGGCCAACAGGCAGTTAACATCTGTAGTTGCTCACTGCATCAAATAAATTGTAATAGGACCAATAAAATGATTGTAATGGAATCTATAAGGAAGGGTGGTTTGTTGTTTTAATTCAATTGGCCTGTCAACAATTGAACTACACAATGATTCTTGATGCATCTTAATACTGGTAAAGTACTTTTTATGCAACTGGGAATAGGACTACTTTCAACAAAATACTTTCCCAGTGGTAGGTGCATGAAAAAGAGGGTGTGTGTTGTGTCCGGGTGTAGATGGGCGAACAAGCAGGCGAGAGAGCCGTGAATATGGGTAAAACGGGGTTTATTACTGCTGACAGGACATAGGGAAGCACACGGCGAACTCACGTTAATGACAGACCTGGGGAAACAGACTTGAACGCGGAATAAATACACAAGACAAGCAGAAAATAACATAGGTAATGTCACATGACAGTGTGTTGGTGGTCTAGTGGTTCAGATGCTTGTCTGTGAACCAAGAGGTTGTGGGTTTCAGTCCCATTGGCAATGGAAATTGCTTTGGATATGAGTGTCTGCTAAATGCTGTAAATGTAAAGGGTGTGTCCACCTCAAGAGGACAGTACCCACCCAGCACCAGATGGGCATTGTTTTGGGTTTTTCTCAAATTCAAAATCCTTCAAGACATTGGACTTTTGTTGTTTTTAAACACATCTGAAGCCTGATCAGGGACTGTATGCAGTTCCTGTTGAAAAGTAGCTCTTATGAGGTTAACATCTGTGAGGTTCAGAAACTAGCAATGGGCCACAATAAGGCCAGATCTCAGACAGAGCCTGGCCACTTGTGGCTAACATAAGGCCCTGCTCTGGCCCAGATGTTAACCTGATGCAGCAACCGAAACCGGTCCGCTGGATCGCCATCATTCCATGCGGTATGTGGGCCAGATGAAAATGTGTGATGTGGGCCACATCCGGGCCAGAAAGAATTTGCTATCTGCAGGTTTGCTGAACCTGAGTGTATGCAGAGTCATATGAGGACATGACTCTTGCACAACGAACCTTTTTTTTATATAGCAAAAGATGGTTTACAAAGAAAGCCAAAGCAGAATTGTTGAAGAACAAACGCAGTATTGGACTGAATTACGAAACACCTTTATTGGTCTTTAGTAAACTTTGGGTGTCGTTGCACTTTGCGTGCCTGGTCACAAGTAAACAGTGGCAGCACTCTCTGAGACTTTTGATATCTTTTTGTGCACTTACAACATTTAATTACTACTGTAAGAATGTCAGGTAGTAACGTGTATCACAATTTGGGGGGGGGGGAGGGGTACCCCAGCCCACTCTTGGGCAGGATAAGCAGAAGATGGATGATTGGAGGTAATGCAAACACACTTTCATATGAAATACATGGTAGGATTGCTGAGTTCCCTCAATATAATTTTTAGGGATTATTAATGCATTCAAATACCAGGATCTTTTTCTAAAAACTTAACATTTCTATTTATGGCATTTATAGAGTGTTTCTTTTTACTAATATTCAATTGTGATTGAGCATAATTGTTCTGATGTCTATTTGGAAAAAATGAACTTTATCGTAATGTTTATCTTCATTGTATGTCCCGTGATTTTTAAAAAAATTCACAAAAAAAATAGCATATTATTATATTACTCTTCAGTTTTTTTCTTGGTGTGTTATTTAGCTGAATTTGGAATTCAGTGTTTAATGTTACTTTTCATGACACGACTCAGTGAAGTGTTTAATCTTGTGGCAGCTGTGTATTTCAGTTCATTGACCCTCTGTGAACAGAGAAAAAAAAAGATCAAATTAATTATTTTGAAGACAAATATTTCTTAGGATTGCCTTTGTGGTTAGCTGGATTGTGAAATTATACTTCTTAAGAAAACAACACTGACAAACAAAAGACCCATATACACTTGAATTGATGCCACGAATCCAAGGGATACCAAGAGCCTGTCTCTGGTGGTTATCTTATCACCCAGAAACACAGTCAGGATCGGGGTAGTTTGCATTCTGAACTCAGACTGGAGGGCATTTCTCCCACATAATTCCCAGAAATCTTGTAGTCCTGGTTCATATCCTCCCAGACATTTTTTGTTATGCAGTGTAACTGTAGTGTGTATTACAACACACCCAAGTAAAGTGCCTTGCGGTGATTCTGTTGTGAAAGGTATGCATTGAATATAATAAACAAATTAATAAATAATTGAAGCTGTTTGATGATAAAAATTATTTTTAAATTATATTTTATTTTTCTGTGTTGTTATTTACATGTTTACAATTTTCGGGTTAACCTAACCAGGATTAATTAATCTCGAGTTTTGGTCTTTTTGATTTAGATCAAACTTATTTAAATGATGCTGAAGACTTTTTTTGATAATAATGATGTGAGCTGTGAAGTGTGCTGCCACTGTTCATGTCTGGTACATGATGACTAACTTCATATCGGTGAATAAATGGATGACTGTTATGCCTGCCGAACTCTGTTGCTGCATTGCACTTTGATACTTTCTGATAGGTTACACCTGGCACATTTAAAGTCATAAAATGATGTCACTTTGCCCATTGGACTGTAGAAAGACCCGAATAGTACACCCCAGTTCAACAGGGCCACGTGTATTTCTGTGACTTAATTTGTGACGTGCAGTCAGGTAAGTTAAAGGTCACTTTAATTTCTTTGGTAGTGTTTCATTTGAGAAGATTTGGAACCGCTTATTTCTGAAAAATTGTGACAAACATTCCTATACATTTGCAATGCAAATCACATATCCCAGTAATATCACCAATATTGGTCTCATAGAGGTAGATGATTTAAGAGGGCAGTTCCTTTAGGAAGAATTGTCCAAAAATGATTTCATGCCAAACCAAAACAAATACATTTACATTTATACCCAACTAGAACTATATTCTCTCTGAAGCTGCTGATTTTAGTCACTCGTATTTCCTCCTTTATTCTGGTATCCTCTCTTTGTCTCTTCAAGATTCTTGAGTAGTACAGATTTGTAACTTGTATTGAAACCAGGGAAATGCCCTTGAGCGAGATACAAAGCTATTTTTTCAGTAAATATGCATCAATCCACGCGTCCCAAGGGTGGCAGAGTGATGTCATCATTAGGGCCTTCAGCATACCACTAACCCCACTTGCTCCCAACTGACACTGGTCTCACTTGTATGTCGCATCTAACAAAAGTGTTTGCTGAACCAAAAAAAAAACGTAAATCATCCCATCACTGGTCAGGGTCATAGGCATGCCAGAGTAAATACAGTGAAAAATTGGGAACTGTTTAGTTTCCTAATAATGTATTACCACGCACTGTTGGTAAGTGCCTTGGGCCAGCTGTGTTGTAAAAGGAACTATATAAAAATTAATTTATTCAAACTGATTTGCTTTATGTAAAAGAATTAGCTTAGCAATTATGTAACATAAATGGTTAGCAACAACGGCTTCACGTTAGGGAGATACTCTGAGGTCAGAAAGAACAAGGGCATCTGTTTATACATGCTTTTCCTCATCATGACACTAATTAGCTTGTAACTGAAAAGAAAACACCCACAATAATTAAGTTTAAAGTGTAAACCAACATACTGAGTCTCCCCTGTAGCTAAAGGCACTGAGTGTGGAGCATACACTGGCTACAAAGTGGTTTGCGAGTCAGAACTATCACCTTAATATTTCAAGATTATACATCCATCTGCCAACCGCTTATCTGGGTCAGGGCCACAGGAAGAATTCCATGCTATCAGCACTAAAAGCCCGTCCATGTCATACGATGCTTTACTGTTGACTGTCCTCCATCTCATACTGAAATTTTCCTACGATGCCTTCACAGGGACTACTTTGTACTGAAATTGGTTACCTCTATTACTGCATAACCTCATTGTTTCTCGACATAATTCTTGCTAATTTTCTGTTATCCTTCCTGTCCCACACTCTGAGCTTCGTTGCCATGATTCAGCATATCGTCAGCTTGGGCCAGACATTTAACAACATCAGACTGAACTACCAACACAATTCTCATCTTTAAAAGACTGATGTAAAAATATGACAAATTATTGTTCTAAATAGATGTTTATTATTTCCTATTTCTGCTACTGGGTATCATGGCCATGTGTCCTTGAAATACTTGGGATCTGCCCACTATGTGATCCGTCAACATTGGTCAAGACGCTGTTGACATTTATTGTTAAATATACTCAATTATTTTTTATTGAAGGCACTATTAATTTAACAGTGTAATTAATGGATTATTTACATATCTTTGTTACCAATGTTACAACAGTTATTATACTGTTCTTTTGTCTGAAAAATCCAAGATAAATGTAAGAAATGTGAATCATTAGAACAAACGTACTAGCACTATTCGTATATGCATGAAAGTCAACACGTTTAGTTGAATTGAACTTTAACCCAATTTGGGGTCACAAATGACCAATTACAGGAAGTTACAATAAGATGAGTCATTTAGCAAAATTTAATGCAATATTAAAGATACAAAATCATCTATCTGTCTGTCTGTCTGTGATTATATTTCATTTAAAACTACTTATCTCAGTTGGAAAGGCACATTTTAACTTTACACGAAGAATATGTAATTTGGTAGAAAACGAATTTATAAAGAAAAGACTTGTAATAGAGGATGTCTCAATTTCAAAATCATCCTGTCACACAGAGGAAATCCCCACCTCGCGTTCCTGACCTTTGCTCTAGATAAGTCTGACCGTGTGGCGCCTGATCTTGGGCGATTACGTCAGGCTGAACCAAACTCTCGCGAGATTTGAAGTATCCCACTGTTAATAAATACAGCTGTGCACGAAGTGACAAGCCAGATTCAGTTGGATGTTGAGCTGCTGTTTAGTGGTGATCTAACTACGCAAAAAACAGGTAAAGTTCCTCTCACTGTTGCTTTTGTTCATCTGTCTGCCAGCCATTTTTTTTTAGTGCAAATATGCTTAGATTAATTTCCGGAAAGGGAACTAATCATCGTTATCAAAGTCGTTCAGTGAGTGTTCCTCTTTTTCTTGATAAGTAAATAGAACTGAAGGATTAGGTATTTCCATGATGTTGTTTTGTGTCGCTCGTTAATTTTTTTTTTTAAAAGTGACGCGATCCTTGTGCTAACGTAGTATTTCATTAGCTATATTCATGGGATGTTATTGTTGTGGTTGTTTTCATGTCTAATATAGTATGAATTTTACTAGACAAGTTTATATTCAAGTTATGTGTTTTATATTGCTTAAAGGAATCGAAATGGCGTCGATGGAAGTTGTTCCGAGTCAGGTTGGTGTTTTTCTCCCATTTTAACTCTAAGATTTTAACATCTTAGACATTGTGTGATAACGTCTTACCTGCGTGCCTTGAGGTTTAGTGTGGTGTTTATCATGGTTGCAAGCAAATAACGTTTATATCCCGGAAGTACCTCATAATTTATATTTTTAATACGCAGAGTGTGGTAACCAGGGTGGTCAGCCTTCCTTTGGTGAGCTCCACCTATGATTTGGTGTCCAATGTGTACTGCAACACAAAGGACAATCACCCATACCTCCGATCTGTGTGTGAGGTGGCTGAGATGGGGGTGAAGACTATCACGTCTGTGGCTATGTCCAGTGCCATGCCCTTCATTGGCAAGCTGGAACCCCAGCGTAAGCTACATCGCCATTCTCTGTTCTGTGACGTATTTCTAACTGTTCATTGTATGAAATGAATTGTACTAGCAGAAATGGGGTGTTTTCAATAAATTGACAGTTGTAGTTTAGTCTGAATAATCATTTGCTCTAAGCATTAGAACAATTATCAAACTACTAATGTGTGCCTTATGATTTAGACTTGCTCAGAATTTTAAAAAGTTCTGAAGTGTAGTGTGTTTTTTTTTTTTTTTTTGTAGAAGTGGACGTACATGGTTAATCCATCATCCCTTGTGCAATATGAACTTTAACCTAGTTGTTTCATAACCAAGTATATTCTGTCTCTACTGTCCATGGATACAAAATTTTACTATAATTTAAACATCCATGTTCATAAGAAACTTGTAATTCATGACTTTTTTTCCCATTTATTTATGTTCTTTTTCTTTCAATAGTTGCCATTGCGAATGACCTTGCGTGTAAAGGCCTGGACAAGATTGAGAAGTCCTTGCCAATCCTTCATCAGCCATCAGAGCAGGTATGAGATGACCTAGTAGCGTATGCGAGTATGGGACCACTCTTGTCAAAGACCTAGGGGGGTGTTCCACGAAGGAGGGTTTTTCAGTTAGCTGGGTAAACTTAAGCTAGAAGGCATGATTAACCTAAAGAGTTTAGGTTAGGAGCATTCCTATTGGACATTCATGCCTTCTATCTTAAGTTAACCCAGCAAACAGAAATCTTGCTTTATGGAACCCCAGTCGTCCTGATCTCTTGGCGTAGCAGCATATAGCATTTTTATGAACTTGAGAAGAGCTTCTGGCTTCTGGGGGGTTTCTTGATTTAATCCATTTTTGACAGTGTACTTTTTTTTTTTTTTTTTTTTTTTTTTTTTTTTTTTTTATAATCAGATTGTTGCCAGTGCTAAGAATGCAGTGACTGGAGCCAAAGAGGCAGTGGCGGTCACTGTAGGTGGAGCCAAAGATGGTGTGTCCCACACTCTCACTGGGGTCATGGACAAAACCAAAGGGGCTGTACAGGACAGCATGGAGAAGACTAAGGCCATGGTCAGTGGTGGTGTCGACACGGTGATGAGCAGCCATGTAGCTCACCTGCTGAGCACAGGAGTCGACGCAGCACTCAGCAAGTCCGAAACCCTGGTGGACCAATATCTTCCACTGACTGAGGAGGAGTTGGGTGAGTAGTATCGTCCTACCTTACTGGTATGACTAGAATCTACTTCCCCCCCCCCCCCCCCATATCTGCTGTTTTGGTTATCCATGGTTTACTGCTGTCTGGAAAATCAGTTGGGGAAAATTCCAGAAATAAATGGTTCATTTATTTGAATTTCATTTATTAATGGTTCAAGTTTCAAACCAAGTATCAAGCGAGAACTTGCTGTAACATGGTGAAATCCACCAGTCCAGTCACACCCAGTACATGACTCATCTCCCTTTGTCCGCATACCTACACTACCCAGAACAGATTTTTATTGCTGTCATCCCTGGATGCCTGTTTTTAATTTTAATTAAAAAAAATTTTTTATTAATTCCTCTATTGGCTAATTTGGCTAAAATGTCTGAATTCCTTTAATTCGAGAGTACAGTGATGCGTAACTTGCAATGTACTTTTCTTACTGTGTTTGTTGGTAATGTCTTATGTCTAATTTATCAATTAAACCTTCACCATATGTATATTAAACCAAATCATGTTATCTGGGGTCTGTGAATGGTTTGCTGCAGTTTCGGCCATCCGCAGCAGCTCTTAGAACGCCTCACTCGTGGATATGGGGACACTACTGCACAGCTGCTATGTAATGCAAGCTTAACTGTTCATTGTGAAAATGTAGGTTAGACTTTGTGTGGAAATCCCCTGCTGTACTCCCCATCTCACTGCTAATCCTTCCAGCTGTTGTCTTGCAGAAAAGGAAGCTAAAATGGTGAAAGGGTTTGATGCAAACCCCCAGAAGTCCAGCTATTACGTACGACTTGGGTCACTTTCTGTCAAGCTGCGCAAGAGGGCCTACCATCAGGCCATAGAAAAGGTGCGAGATACTAAACAGAGAAGTCAGGAGTCTATCTCGCAGCTACATAATACTGTGGATCTGGTAGGTCTTTGCACCAGTTGACATGCGGTGTGTCTGTGTGTTTTGGTCTGCTCTTGACTTGAGCTTAGATTTGAACCCTATAATGCAGGGGTCACCAACATGGTGCCCGCGGGCACCAGGATGCCCCCAAGGACCACATGAGTCGCGCACACACCTGTTCTAAAAATAGCACAACTCGCCAGTGAGCAGTGTCTAAATTTAAATTTTATCCTGTTGCTATTTTTCTTCAATCACATTTGCATTTATAGATTTGAAAATGGCAGTATCTTAAAACAAAAAAAGCATTTAAAACATGTTTATTACACATGAAGTTTAGATAAGTTTAGGAGGGCGTTTCAAACTGGCAGCCCTTCGTATGGCTCAGTACCCTTGAAGTAGATGATGCTTTTCATCAAAAGTTTGAATTGGTCCGACTTAAATGCCCTGTCTCTCCGTTAGATTGAATATGCGCGAAAGAATGTGGATGATGCTAACCTGAAGCTACATCAGAAGTTCAACTCTTGGGTTGAATGGAAGTCAGATGGGCAGAGCGAGGGAGGCCAGACTGAAGCAGAGGTAATGAAACTTTCTGCAACCTTCAGGGTTTGGGGGGTGTCCATTTGTGGAGAGTGACTGACTGCAGGGCTGCGTTTACCCTGAAGGTTTCGGGGGTTCGTCCTTAACGCAAAAAACCCGTTTTGAATGGGGCAAGAATGTTGCCGCACACCTTGGATAAGAGATGGTTGATGTCATTAAGGTAATGGGATGCCTGTCACTTTTTTTTTTTTGTTTTTTTTTTTTCCTTTCTTCAGCACATTGAGTCTCGCACCCTGACCATTGCCCGGAACTTGAGCCACCAGCTGCAGACCACTTGCCTCACCCTGGTTTCCAGTCTTCAGGGCCTCCCCCAGAATGTGCAGAACCAGGCGCTGTCTGTGGCACGCTCTGCCTCTGAGGTCTATGACCACTTCAGCAAGACCTCCACCCTTCGGGATGTCTCTGACAACGTGCTGGCCAGTAGCAAGTCGAAGCTGGGCAAAATGAAGGACTCCCTGGATGGTATCATGGACTATCTGGTCAACAACACGCCCCTCAACTGGCTGGTAGGTCCTTTCTACCCACGGATGACCCCACCACCCTCCAGCTCTCAGGCAGTTGGACAGAAAGAGACCCCACCTACAAATATGGAAATGAAGCCATTGGACTCTAACAACTAAATGCCTTCTGCATTTGTAAAAGCCTCACTTAATCTGCACCTTATTCCTGCACTAAATATAGCATAAAACAAATGTCACAATGGTATTTCAGAACATTCCATTACCTTTAAAGCAAGCTGACACCACTTTTAATAGCTTATAGTGGGTGCTCATGTAACTGCTGCCTTTTCCTGGCTCATAGCTTACGCTCATTTTTTATTTTTAATGCAGAAAATTAATAAAATGCAGAATTCCTCATGGGTGCAATTAGCGTTTTTTGTATGAAATTGGCATGCCACAAAGCATTAACTTCCACTGCAGGTTTTGTATGACTTTCATAATAAAGAAGAAAGTATGTCAGTGATTAATACGTGTGTGTGTTGATTTGTGTGAGGTTGGCGTAATGTAACCCAAGGGCAAGTGTAGCTAGTATACTTTTTGTAGAGTGTGTTAAGCGTACTTGTACGCTAGAACGCACAGATTTGTGCCTCACTGGGGCCATTTGCTTGAAGTTTGGCCTTGTTTCAGTCCTAACTAACCAGGAATGTTAGCGTTTGCCTCCTTAAGCAGACATGTAGGATCTCTTGCAGAACAAGATGTCCTTCACTCCTAGTTTTCTTCCATTTGACAGGTTCCTGATATAATCATCACAGACCTTTCCTCTGAATCTGATGAAAATGAAGACCAAGGAGTGACTAATGACCTTATCAATGCACAAAGCCTCCAGTCCATCACGAGTATGCGGAATTGAACTGAATAATGCAAAGTAACCCCCCCCCCCCCGCCCCCCCCCAGCATTTAGAGCATCTTTTCATATCAACTTGTTTTCCTTTTGGAATGTGTCACAATAAATCACTGTAAAGCAACTATGTTTTTTTTCCTTTGTGGTAAATTGTACATTTAATCAAGGACCTTCAGAAACTGCTGTGCTTAATTAAGCACATTGCTTATTGAGAATGAACTTTAGTAGGAGTGCATTCAGTTCTGTAACTATGTATCTTGAGTACTTTTATTCAGCTGCCAGCCGGTCATTTGCTGCCTGATACAGTCTAATCCCAATATCCTTGCCCAAGTTAGGTGGCTCATTGAAATGATTGGAGATCAGGGTGGTTAATGCTAAATGGAAATATCAATCTCAAGTACTCAAGTGATTAGTTTTCTGTAGAACTAATTGTTTATGGATACAATCTGGGGTAAAAGAGAACTAGTTAGGTAACATCTATAGTTACCATAATGTTAAAATGCACACAAAAATGGTTTAAAATAAACGGAGTACTGCAATGTGAACTAAACTGCTGTAAGACTCCACACTAGCCTCATCTACCTCTGACTTTGTCCTATGTAACTATATATGCTCATGATTAGAAACACTTGGACAACTTGTATTTTAGATCATAAGTCTAACATCACAGTGATTTGTGCATGATATAATGGTTCTACTTCATTAGTTTTCAAACATCCCATCTTGATCTTATCTTGAATCAATAGAACTTTAGATCTTGATCTCCATAAGAGACAAAGACATGTATATTAGAGACACAGTTTTGGGATCAGAGCACAGCGCCAAGCAGTAGCCCGGACACCTGGTTCTGTCGAGGTTGAAGGCTTTGCCCGAAAATCCAACAGCGATATTATTGCTCTGGTGACTGCAGGGTTTGAACATAATTTTCTGGACACAAAAACCAGACCTGTAACCCTGTACATATCACCCTCAAATGTATTTTTACCAAAATTCAGACTTCAACCCTGAAACCACAGATTATAAATGGGCGATGTTCCACCATCTGAGTTATTCAGGAGCCTCCTGATCATTTTTTTATTTCGTAAAAAGAGGGTCATTATCATTACAATATAGCCTTGCGTAAGTCATACTCCAATACAACTCAAAATACGGACAACTAAATTAAACGGCGATAAATGAACGTAGTCGTTTATTTTTTATGATTATCGGGGATTAAATGCCCTCTACCGTTGAATTTGTGAATAACTATTATTTTCAATTCGGAAGAGCGCCATCCAGCGTCATAGGCTATCCTGTAACTTTTATTAGTATTTTTTTTACACATTTGCATACAAAGATGTAGCATGAATAATACTGAAATATTATAGGCACTTGCGCATTTAAATATAGCTAGATGAAAAATCTTTAAAATGTGACATCCTCAAACCACGGTAGGGGTAGTTGATTTTCATGTAAACATGACGTCACAAAACGCAGTTCACGACTACGCGTTTCATGTGCGCGCGCCGGAATTAGTCGGAGAATAAATTCCGGGCCATGGGCCTCGTATTGAATGGTTTTGGCGGTTTCCCGTTCTAGACCAACCCACTTTTCGTTTTATAAAGCGTCAAGTGCGGATTCGTGTGTTTTTGTTGTTAAAGTTTTACGTCGGATATATGGAAGGCCATCGTATGATGTTTGGTTTAAAATACAGGTCATTCATGCATGTTTAGACTAGGTTATTTTGTTTAGTAACAACGGGATCGAAGTTGGTCTTGTCTATAATTTGAAGTTCTTGAAGATGGCTAACCTTCAAGAAAACTCCAAGTATTTGTGGTGGGCTCTTTTGTGTCTTGAGTTCAAACCCGAAGCTGCTGTAGCTTCCGCGGGGATTAGCAAACCTAATGTCCGTCACGTCAACTTGGGGATGTAAGTATGTGAATCTTCAATGTACAAAAAGAACCGTGCGAAACGCCATCGTTTGTGTTGGTTAAGAATTAGTTATCAGTTAAGAATTATTCAGTTGTCACCTCTTGGGTTTCTTTAATTCGTGCCGATGATGCATAATTGGCGTCGGATTTGCTCTACAGATTTTGACTTGCCCATCACCTTAAAGAATGTTCTGTATTATGCCGAAAATAACCAATGTTCTTTTCCTCCTTTGGCCTCAGGAATATGTTTGAAAAGCCGAACAAGGACGCCTTCTACATTGTCACTTACTTTTTATTTGAAAAACTTAATCCAGGCCGTGCTCACGAGTTATTCCGGTAAGGTGACATGTATCTTCCGGTTTGTTTCAGTTGTAGAAAAATATTGGTGCTTTTTTTTGCCCCTCATATGCGTGTCATTTTCAAAACGTACAGGTATTGTTGGCCGGTCTTGGACCGTAAGGCAGATGCTGAATTTCGGAAGGTGACCTTCGCTTGGCTCCGCGATATAGCGGTAAGGATACAGCATCTGGGTTGTCGAGTTCAGAAAAGTTGTACTTGTTCTGTGCTGATCCTAATCCAATCCTTGTGTCTCCTCAGGCGGAGTACGGGAATGCTTTCCCTAAAGTCGTGGCGTCCTTGTTCCTTTCCCCAGGAGGACCAAAGTTCATCAGTCTGATGTTTCACTTGGCCAAGCACGTCATGCTGCAGGAAATGAAGTCCTTTTCTACAGGTATTCATTGTACCAGTGCAGTGTTCAGCCATTTAAGCATTCTGCTGTATTGTGAGTTGTTATTTATATTTTATTTATATAGACGGGTGGGTCCCTGAATCGGTGGCGACTGAAGCTCAGTCTCTGGAAATGGCGGTGAAGAGGTTTCAGCTGGTGAAGAGAAGGTTTCTCCAGGCGGCTGTGGAGCAGGACTGTGTCATTCAGAGCTACCAGCGCAAAGCACGGTACGTAGTTCTTACTAGAAGGCTTTGCATGGGAGTTACGGGGGTGCTTATCCACTGCCTTACCTTGTGTAAGATGGAAAGATGACTGCAGACCTAAGTGTGTGTGTGTGTGTGTGTGTGTGTGTGTGTGTGTGTGTGTGTGTGGGTTTTTATCACTTTTCCATTTTTTTCATAAACTGTAGGGTTGTGTTTGTTTTTTTTTTGTTTTTTTTTTTAAGCATTGGAAAGTTGACTGGACAACTATAAATGAGAATTTAAGTCAAATTTCCTTTTAACAAGGAAAAAGTATATTACAGTGCAGGTCTGACATTTTAACTGATTGTGTGGTGATGGCATAGTCAAATTCTAGGCTGTCCTTTAACTTTAAATGCAGTAATTAACTGTTTCATCCAATGAAACGGCAGTATTTCATTCAAAGAATGTCTTGAACTTTGCTGTTATAACTGCTAGAGGAGGTAACTTCAATGAATCAAAGATATGCATTTTTTTGCTAATAAAGGTACAGTACTGGTGCATATACTGTAAATGTATTTGTTAGCAAAGAATATTGAATGCATTTTTAGTAAATTTTAAGTAACACACTATAGTAGAAAATCCGCGTGCAAAAATTTGACTCTGTGTAAAATATAGATTTATACGTGCACACAACTCGCCAGTCAGTGAGAATGGGAGAATAGGTAGATTCACTCATCAGTTTATTATTTTTTTTATTTTTTTTGTAAGCATCAATCATTCATCGTGACAATCCGAGTTTAAAAGTTCTTGATTTGCTTTTGTCCTAGGACTCTTGTGAAATCCCTAAGAGATCTGAGAGCCGAAGAAGCGAAATATGACTACTTACTGAAGTAGGCTTGCCTGTCAGACTAATGAATCAAAGCCAGTATGGACTTGGCCTGCACTCCTTCAGTCTTTGTTCTATTAAATTGCTGTTTTCTTTTGTAGGATGTATGAACAGGAAGACGAACAGCCGAAAAATATTCTAAGTGAGAAGATTATAAAGGTCTGTTTTATAAAGCTTTTTTATCATTAGAATGATTTTTATTGATATCAAAGAGAAACTACAGAAATTCTAAGTTCTTGTTAGTGGTTTTAGTTTTTTGCCCCAATGCAAAATATGAAAATATGTGCTGTTTCCAGGTTAGGTCTTTGTGGACAAGTGTTAACAAGATCCTATCCAGCCTGGAGAAGGAGAGGGCAGTTGTGGACAGTGTGGTCAAAGGAGATGTTGATCAGTATGTTCTGGATGGGACCGATCGTGTCCTTAAAATCCCAAGATGTCTGCTGGAGCAGATTGAGAATTCATGTCAGATGGTGAGATGTTGTGGGCCTTGGGGTGATTAGTTAAGCTTTAATAGCCATCGACGTCTGGTGCTGGCTCACCTTTCAGCAGCGCCTGTGGTGTTTTGAGATGCGATTGAATTTCTTCAGATTAGCTGGTGCTGCCTGGTCTCCATACAGGGTTGCCCCCTTTCCAACAAGAAACTTGGGCTATTCTGTATTAGCTTTGTGCATTAAAAACTGGCTTCTGAATAAAAGTCACTTGACCAAATTTTATGGAAGTTGCTTGCAAATAGCAGAATTTTTGCAATCAAATCCTTAGACCTTACAATCCCTTTTGGAGATGGTATTCTCAGCTATTCATGACCCCTTTCATGACTGTTGGGAAGATGGAAGAATGGTCGAGTAAGTCTCCTTCCCATGTCCTAGTCAAGTGCAGGGAATGTGTACGAAGCAGGCCAGCTCAACGTTCTCCGTTTGCTGGAGCTGCTACGGGAGGCCCTGGTGCTCTTGGAGCAGGAATGTGCACAGCTGGGAGATGCTGCCCCAGAGTTCGACCTACAGCACTTGGAGGAGCAGGCCTCGCTCCTAGGCCGAGCCTTGGACGCCCTGCGCCTCACGGGGTAAGCAGGAGACTGTAGGCATGGGTGGTGTTTATCAAGGTTAACCTTGATAAACAAGTGTGCGTGTTTGTGTGTGTGCATGCCAATAATGAATAAACTTATTTTTCTACCCCTCTCGCTATTGCTTTTTCAAAATGGGTGTGTTTTTTTTTTTCTCCTTCTCCCATCCCTCTACACCCCCAGGCGGAAAGTAACTAAGGAGGAGATCCCAGAAGCAAAGGGATTCATTCAGAATATGCAGGAGTCGTGGGATAGAAAGTGGGCTGAGAGCCTTGGTCGGACACCCCTGGAGTTGTTTCTCACTGAGGACCCTGTAAGTAGTGTTCATTGTGAAGCTTGGAAACCCTGGATTTGAGGGGAGTGAAGTTTCTGATGGTTGTTTGCAGGCTTTGAAGTTCCTATCGCCAATGGCCCCTCTGTCCTTTGAGCCAGTGATTGAAGCCGGCTTGACATCCTGCATCTTCTCGCAGTACCCAGCAATGCTTCCTGGTCAGTGTAGCCCTTTGTTTGCCATGGATTCTTTTGCGACACTTTCTGTAGATTCAAATTAAATCTGTTCACAATCTTATTTCTGCTACATAGATGAATTGCCTACGCAAAAGCCAGCCAGTCATGGTCCTACTTCTGCAGGGAACGTGGGCACGAAGGATCTCGCTCCTGAAAGGTAGTTATGGGTTATATTATGGATCTGATGGACAAATACCTGTACTGTTGTGGGAGGGTGATACTCGGGCATTGGTCTGTCTTGTCCTGTCCGTCACAAATCCTCCCTATAGCATCTCTGTCTTTCTTTGACTGCAGTTAGTGGAGAGAAATCACTGCAGACAGATACGGGGCATACAATATTTATTTGCTGATATGACAAGCTAAATTCCATACATTTGTAATTTCAGCTCTTCTGCCACCGCGCCAGCAAACAAGTCAGTGGCTCGTACAGAATCTTCGAGACCGTCAACCCCCTGCAAGCCAACTTCTAGGTGTTCCACGCCTTGCTGTAATCCTTCGCCAGCTTCTACGCAGGTAGCTCATTTGTGCCAGAGGCTGATTAGTTGGTTGTGACCTGATTTGAAATTTTCTGGGGAGATGGGTAATGCTGTCTTCGGTGCACTGATCCAATATTCAGCTCTGTATTTGTGTCGATACAGACCTTTTTGACAGATTGGGTATCGGTCATGCGTGACCGATCCATGTGATTCTTTAGTTTTTGGCATCTCTAAAAAGAGAGCTCCTATTTCACGTTAAATCTATTTGTGCAATCAATCGCACAACAGCCCTTTCCCATTTTAGATGTTTTTTGTGGCATTCAAGCTGAACAGTAACACTGCAACTCGGTTATATTTGTCACACAGTTGGTGTGAGAGCAGCGGCATCCGTCTGTCGTCATACACTTCGCACTAGGGGGAGAGTGAGAACGTCAGATAAGAGGGTGACCAATCTGGAAGTATTTTACGCTTTTAACGGCAACTAATAGCAGTGATTTGGAATCTTTTTAAAAACAGTTTTGAGAGGTGGGAGTAGCGTTTAGTGGAAAATCTTCCTAAAAGCGCGCACAATTGTGAGACTACATGAGTAGTACGAAAAAAGCAGTGGATGATTTGGGAGTAACTGGCTTGATCAGTTTTGCACACTCACTACAGTTTGATACATGATGGGCTGCCATTGCAACGAAGTGTAAGTGATGCTGTTGTCAGTGGGAGAAATTTAAGGTGTGTGTGTGTGTGTGTGTGTGTGTGTGTGTTTCAAACTGATATTCAAAAACTAACTGCAAATCCCCCAAAAACATTTACAAGATGGAACAGTATGTTTATAGTAGCCTAATTCAATTTTTATTTTAGTTCAAGTATGCACTTTTCATCTGTATTAGTATTAAAAGTGTGAATTATTACAATGGCTTTTTATGCTAATGTTTTATCAATCTATCAGCAGTCGTGCATCAGAATCAGATCTGAACCGAAAGGAATGTGGACTGGTCCATCCCTACTGTGTTTTTTTTTTTTTTTTTTTTTTTTTTTTTTTGTTAAATAATCTGCAGTGTACTGAAGACAAAAGCTTTGATTTGCTTTCCAGTCTCAGTGCCTAATTGAACCACATGCCGCTCCATCTTTTTGCAGACTAGTGTGCCGAAGCATGGCAGTGTGAGGATACCAAGGCCCCGGGTCACTGGTGCTAAGAAAAAGGCCATGATTCTGGATCAGGAATGTGACAACCTTGCTGACCAGGTATGCAGCTACTGTTGGGATTTCCTGTGTCTTCCCTGTAGCTTAAACCTGCTTTATGTTCAAATGTTTTTAGCTTTTTCCCCCCCCCTTTTGTAGGGTTGAGATACACACTGATGAAACACTGCTGTTATTGAGTTCAGACTGTGATGTGCTTTTTTTCCCCTCACTTCTGTCCAAAGTGATGTACATCTTCTACATTTGTAATATGAAATGAGTCGTTTGGGCTTTAGCACTTGGGTGGCTGGTGTGAGGTTAGGGAAACGTGCTTGGCTGCTTTGGGAGTGATGATACCTGGGTTGACCTAAGACTTGGTCTGCCTGTCACTGACCCTCCCTATAGCATTCCTGCTCTCTGATGACCGGGGCGGACTGAGGGAAACCGCAACGGACAGATACGGGGCAGACAAACCCATGTGGCCCAAGTGTGCATTTCAGTTTTGCTTCCTTGTTCTGCTCATTAAAGACTTATTGCCTTGGTGGCAGAACCTTTACTGGGACTAGGCTTTAGGGATTCTGACTAAGCATTGGTGGTGGTTACAGAGTTTGCATCTGTTACTCGCATTTGTAGTTTGCAGCAGCTGTCACTGGTAGCTCTGTGGATAATGGCATCAGGAGCCTGGATCTGGAGGACCTGCTCGGCACCCTTTCGGATCCCTTCTCCACACGGAAGCAGCTGCCTCGCACCCCAGAGAGCCTCAGTAAGTGGTCTTCCAGTTCTCTCTTCCAGCACTTTCCAACACCTAACGCATGCTGGCTCGCTGTGTAGGGTGGAAATAAAGTAAGCGTGAATGGAGTTGAATCCGGCGTCGTTCGGCAAGCTTGCCGTGACATTGAATGCTAGGCATGTTTCAGTCATGAGTGAAACTAAATGAGTTTAATGGGGGGTGACTGGCTTGTGGATGTTTCTCAGTCTCTGAAGTGAAGAGCTCCTGGAAAAGGGCATTGGAGGAGAGCGAAGCGGAGAAGGCCCGTCTCTCTGGGAGGTTTGCGGACTGCACAGGAAGGAGCTCCCCTCCCAGCCATGAAGCTCCGCAGGCTGCTTGTCCGAGCCTAACTGAATCCCTTCTTGGTGCAGCGGTGGTGCAGACACCGGAAGCTCCCGTTCATCGGGCCACAGAGTCCTTGAATTCCACTTTGCCCTTGGACACTGACTCCGCGGTGACTGCCTACTCCCAGGCTGACGACAGCGATGTCGTCGTCCAGTTTGGGATTGTCGGAGAGACCATGCCTGACCTGCTGGGTGACGAGAGCCTCTGCTCTAGCAATGGATCCCTGGAGGACGACTGTGAAGAACTAGCTTTCCCTCAGCTGTTTCCGAACCTCGTTGATTTTGAGGGGGATCTGCGGCCTGCTTGCGACAGGCTCAGCAAGATCCGAGAAGCCTACAGCAACATGTCTTACCAGGACGACGGGCAGACTCTAGAGCTACACGAGGAGAGTCCAGAGGAGGCAGACTGGAAAGCTGGAGATAAGGTCTTCTCCCTAGATTTTGATGCACTGGAGAGTCCGTCTCCCAGCAAAGGTCGGTGTAGCCTTCCCAAGCTGGTCACATTCTCTCCTTTGGATGATTTTTAGCTCCTTGCTAAGTTTGGCAATTTACTCACCGCCTCCACTTGTACATTGACACTTAATATCCATTTTCCTTAATTTTTTCCAAAGATTAACCAGTGTGAAAGCAACAGCTTGAAACATTCTGTTGTACACCCTACAAAGTAGCGTTAATCATTTTGACACCTTTTTCGATGTTTTTGAAAACACAAAATGTGTAGTTTACCAATAGAAAACCCAGTCAGTGTTTGAACCATTTGCCTGCAAACTGACTGAAATCCTCTGCTAAAGAAAATGAAATTAAATGCTGTAAATTATAATAAAGATGTAAATAAAAGTTGACTTGTCCAGTAAAGGTAGTTTGCCTGGGGTTTCATTTTTGACTGCTGCAAAATTTTGTGCCAATTGTTAAGCAGGGGGCTGCTTGGGGGTGCTATAGCACCCTCGATATTTTTTATGATTATTTTTTATTTTACATTGCTATTGCGTGGATACTATGTTTGACCAATTAAAAAAATATCTTTTTCTGTTTGTGTTTAACATCACCTGAAAAAATTATCTGATTTAGCCAAAGGGCGGAGAGCGTATTTAACGTTTTGACCTTATGTACTTTTTTTTTACATTGGGTGCATTTGACCTTGGGCTTAGGTCTGTCTGCAGCTGACGTGACGTGGAGCGAGATCTGCTGGCGGCTGCAGGGGTGAATTATAAACTGACTGCAGCCAAGTCGGACAACTTCTACTCCTTGTAGTGTGCGAGACCTGACTGCAATGGCAGCACTGCCAGAAGGGTGTAGATAAATCTATACAAATATCACCTACATGCACATTACTTGTTTTAAAATAAGCAACTTCTGATCCAAACTGTTAGTTTATTTTTTCCCCCACTGCTAATTTGTATGGTGGCCCTGTGTAAAAAGATAGCTGAAAGGAAAAAGATCAAATACATGTACAGTGGTACCTCAGAACTCTAACTTAATCCGTTCCGAACTCAGGTTCGAATCCTAAGAAGTTCGAGTTCTGATCGAATTTTCCCCATGAGAAATAATGGAAAACCAATTAATTGGTTCGCGGCCCCAAAAAAATTACACCTAAATGTGTTTTGTTTTATTGTTTTATGTAAGCATTTAAATATAAAATGGACAGGATAAAATTAGAAGAGCATATACTGTACTAAACACATCTAAGCACATTTATCAAAACAGTAATTTGTAAAGTAAGAAAATAAATGTATCCGAACAATGTGTCCTGCCCCAATTGTCCGCTCCTTCCGTGTGCCACGCCCCCTCATTGACCCCGTGTGGAATCCCTGTGTGATCAGCTGTTTCTGGTTGTTGTCATTAGTCCTATGTATTTAGTCCGCGTTTCAGTTTTTTTCCCCAGTCTGGTCATTGTATTGTCCGTCTGCGTTTCGCCTGCCTTACCTGTAATTAAACCCCGTATTCCCCGATACCCTGACGTCTGCGCCTTTGTCTCTGTTCTGTCCTGCTCAGCACGACAATGTTATTATAATTAAATGTATTAATGGTTTATTATTAATGATATTAAAATAAGAAATCTATTTTTAAATGTATTTTATATAATTACTGTTACTGTCTATCATTGTCAATTTATTTTTACTGTCTAAATATATGTATTCAGCCAGTGTAAACATGCACGATGCTATCAAAGCGAATGCGAGGCTGAAACTAAAGCGTTACCCTTTGTTTCTGCCGAGAGACATGCTGCGTGACTCAATTCCCTGCGCATACAAGTAATTTTAGTTTGGCGTTCACGGTTTGACTTCTGAGATTCAGATCGAGATCTAGGTCATTTTTTTTCCCCCCAAATGGTTGGTTCGACTTAAGAAATTCGAGTTCTAATGAGTTTGAGAACTGCAGTACCACTGTATTTCAAGGATTAAAAGTTTTTATTGTCATGTACAGAGTACAATTCAATTCTTACTTGAATACCAGGATGCAGTGCTTTAAGCCAGTGCTGTAAGCGGCTGCATGAAGTCGAACCTTTTTCGGCATAACACGTTAACTGTCGATTTGTGCCTGTCGTGGACAGCATTTCGAGCACTTGCCCATCAGTGTGTGCACCTCATTGTATAGGAGAGAATATCCATTTACTTCTATTTCAATGCTGAAGATTATATAATCTCATTGTGTAATCCCAAAATCCTTTAACAGTAAATTCAGGTTGGGTTACAACTGGATCGGATGTGTTAATTGTTGACCAGCTATTCTTTAAGTATGCTGTACATAATTTTGTTCGAAGGAAACTGAAGCTGGGTTCTTATTATAGGAGCAGCGTTCTGGTTATGTTGTAAATGAATGCTACTGCTTATAGATGCTCTTTGCACCTTGGATAATGTTTACCATCGAGCCTTGGGTGTTATTAGGAATTGTAGATCTTTGGTGCATTGTTATTTTACATGCATATTATTCTGGTTGGCCTGATTTTTCTATACGGTGGGTGTTTTGTGGTATGTTTCCATCTATAAATCCATTGTGACTAGACATCCCTGTTATCTATCAGCCATATGTTCCAAAAATAGAGTGCTTATGTTATTCTTTAAAGAACAGGCATAGCTGAACAAAAAGCTATATTGTAAATTCTGTGGAAATGGAGTTTTTTGAGGGTAGTTATTTTATTTTTTTTGTACGTATACTTAGGTTACTTTTGTTGGATTTGTGTCGTCCCCCGTCCCCCCCCGAGTCTGTTTTTGTCACATGTGGTGTTGTATAACATACAGTGAAATGCTTGTTCTGGCAGATTCACCGACTGCAGTATAAAATAGGGACTGGAGATTATATATAGTATATTATATAAAGCACAAGGAATGTAATAAAATATAAACATAAAATGCCAAAACAAGACAATATGTCATGTCAAACTACCACTTTTGTATTGTACTGGTATTGACGTCTAAAATCTTTCATATAACTAAACCTAGTTAAATAATGGTTTTTTGGATAGTAAAGCTTTTTGTATTTGTACTTCAAAGCTGGTTTGGATTATGTTTATTTTAGGACAATTTGACGTTTGACATCCCCCTTGTAACCTATATTATCGATGATGGTTTTACATTTAAATGTAATTGATGTCTGCTGAAGTATATATCTTCTGCAGTTTGGGAATGCTCATGTATTAAAATAGATAACTGTAAAGTAGATTGTGAATTGTGTCATCTAATTCTCCGTAACATTTATGTGGATCACCATGGGGAAAAAAAGTGGTATAGGAAAACCATTCTCATCGCTTTAGTAGTTAATCAAATCAATAAATCAGTCTATTTGTTTAGTACATTTTCAAAGTCAAACACGTTGATGACCAAAGTGCTACATAATGAAAGATTGATTAATAGGAAATAGAAAAGCACTGATTGGTACTGATCCTTCCCTTCCTCTTGGGAAACGGAGTGGAAGTAGGGATCCATCTGTTGCGCAACGGGACTTCGCGTTTGGACCTGTTTCTGAAGCCAGAGGGCACCAAAACCCGTCACTGGGCTTCTGGGCGGCTCAGCCCCGCCTCCGGCAGCGCTCTCAGAAAAGCCGGAGAAAGCGAGGAAAAGGCGAACATGGCGCCCGCTTTTGCTAGGGTGAGCTGAACAGTAGGCTATAGCAGAGAAGTCGGAAACTAAGTTGCCGAGCACGCCTGAGTGCATTCGCCGTGTGCTCCCATTGGAGTGCCCGGTTACCGCAAGGGTGGGATATCTCTCAAGGGTTGGTAAAAGCAGCAAGTCGCCTGGATGTCAGCGATCTTTCCTCTGGCGGCGTGAAAACTGCTGGTAAGTTACACGCGTTTAAAGGTCTTGGGGCTAGATCACCACTGTCACTTTAGCTAGATGGTACAATGCAGTCTTGAACAGGTCGTGATCTGTCACGCTGGCAAATTAAAAATGATTGAACTTCGTTGTAATGCGTCCTCCAGCATCTGCCGTCTGACTTCTTGGTCGGTCAGTTTGAGATGCAGCGCCGGCGTGTTTCTCTTTGCAACGCTGGTTTCGGAGATGCTCAATCAGTTCTTCCTAATCTGAATGATCTGTTTGAGTGCTTGCAGCTAGGTTATGGCAGCAATCTTTAAGTACGCTACATTGGCACGTTGATATTGAATTACCTTACTTATGGAAGGTAGCGTTTACTGAGGCTAATCACGTATAAATGTCATTTTTCATGGTCCCTCAATACACACATTGCTAGTGTACAGGTCGCAGTTGTTTTGCAATCGGGTACCATAGTTGGCAGTGACAGCCAATTACCCTTATATAGTTCTCTTTTGTACGCGTGCCAGACTACAAAGTTAATCTTAACTTGGGGGTCTCACTGTAAACTATGACGCGGTCGCCAGCAGCTTTCGACGTTTCATATGCAAACGAGCTTTATTGCCCTTACAGCGCAGCAAATGCTGTTCATGCTGCGTCTCTGTCCTACTGCCTCCCTTTACTGAACGTTATGTAGTTTTCTGTTTCTACGGAGTGAATTCGCTTTCTTGCGAAACTGTGTCCCCGACATGAGTAATGAACTTAAACTTTCATGAAAGCCGCCTGCGGCTGATTTATCACTTGAGCTCAAGGCTACATGATACAAGAATCCGCTGGCTCGCCCTATTCCTCGCTAAGGGGGGGCTCTTCATCTTATGGTGATAATCGTCAATACTTTGATGATGAACGGTAATAATGCTACTCGTTTGCCTTAAAGCGCTTTCCCTTTGCCATCAGGTGACATTAAGGTCCAAGTATTCATCTTCCAACCACTTATCCTGGTCACGGTTCAGGAGCCTATCCAGGTAGCACTGGATGAGCTACCAGTCTGTCACCAAACATGTGTATAGTGAGCAGGGTAGAGATGCCAGATAGACGAGTTGCATGTCTCTGAGCTACAGGAGGAAATGTACACAGATCATTCCTGCAGGACCTGGGGAGAATACATAAGTTCCACACACACAGAATAAAGTTGGGATTATGACCTCACACTCTGGTGGTGTGAGCTAACAGTGCTGCACTTTTAGCCACTTTGATGTCATAGTTCCTAGACATATCTGTATAAATGTACCTTTGGTACACACAATTAAATATTCCAGTGTGTTCATTTCTTTTTACATGCGATCATAATTTGCATGCCGTTGTTGCATTGACGGTCACATGGCCGGCTACTAGATGCCTCGCGTGGTTACCCCGGAAACCCATTTGTTAGATTTTATTAGGCATGTGTTGTGGTTTGTAACACCGCTCGCTTCTTTCCAGGAAGTGCAGGTACTCCACTTAAAATTAGCTCCCTGATGTGATGTTTTATCACACAATGCAGAGGATCCCGATTTGTGTCTGTAGCAGAGTGAAATTTAACTCAACTGTGTGAGGTCATTCTTTTGGGTAAAGGACTGTAACCTGTGTAACCTTCACTGATTGGCTCTGCTCAGGATAATAGCATTAATGTATTGTTATACAACTTCCTGCACTTGTAATATGAAGTTTACTTTTGCCAGCCGTTACAGTGGAAAGTAACCGAGCTTTGTACACAGTTTTTGCTTTCTTTCTCTCTGTAAGCCCGGTCTGAATCAGCCTCTACCTGAAAAATAAAACTGAAGATGTACTTGTGAACCACATACAGCCAGAGGAAATCTTGTGACACTTTTGACAGGATCAGTCGGAAGGCTGCCCACGTGCACCTGGTTGTCAGCAAGACAGATCAGCGATGCATGTTTTTTGTGACGTTACAGAGAGCTGGTACTTTGCGGTATATAAAGTGATGCTGTAGTTAGCACAAGTCACAGGATCCCTCGTCTGTGTCGATCCTGCGTTTTTCTGGGTGAATATTTTGAATCCGCCCTGATATATTTGAACCACAATGAGTGTCCCTCAATCTAGCAACCATCCTTTGTGGTCAACAGGCAGTTAAGACCTCCTTCCTATTATGGTGATATCTTTATAATACCTCCCATGGTGGTGTTATCGCTGCATATATAAATACTGAGCAGGTTTTATTCTCGGAAACGAGTGCTTATAGCTTGGCTGTCTATTCAGCCGGATGTATCACAGACAATATTTCATTATAGAGCCTTTCTTTGGTGCTTGAACCAGAATGTGTGTGGTCACAAGTGGAGCTCCAGGTGACACTGGCTGCAGCCTGCCGCTCCGGCGGTGGTGCCTTCCTGTGACATTGTGGCAGATGATAATGTGGGGGGTGGCAGATGGATGCCTTTCGGGGGCTTTCAACCGTTTTCTGGTGTCTGCCCCCTTTGGCACCTCATAGGCCACGTCTGCTGTTCACACCGGGTTAGTGCCTGATGTTCTGTGCAAGTGGAGTCCGGCTCTTCGGTCCTAATGTCCCTGTGGCACTACAGAGGGGTTAGCTATCCAGAAAGCTTGCGTGAACATTTTCAGAAGTTAATTCAGTTACCTGGACTGAATTTATTCCAAACTGATTGACTGCACCAGACAGTGTGAATATTCTATTCAAGTTGTTGTGCTCTTTAAACCACTAATTGAAATGTGAAACAAATTATATAAGATTTTATTTGAACCCATTAGATTCTGATCTTCGATACTGATCAGTTTCAGTTTAAAAACTGAATTTACATACTGAGCCAAAACCTAAATTCTGGATGGCCACTTTATTGAAAATGTGATGATGAACATGAATATGAATGTTGAAATGTAGATTCCTGGAATGGTGGTGTAGATCAGCGGTTAACACTGATGCCTCACATCTTGATGGTTATGGGTTTGAATCCCATCTCTGCTCTTTTAGTTTATGGGGTCTTTTTTTTCTCCATCTTTTCATCAATTGAGTGGTGACCGTCTGTTTTGTTTTGTGTTTTTAGCCAAAGCTCACAAAAGCCAGTTCTGAGGGAGCAAACAAATCTGGACTCTGTGTAAAACAGTTTTTATCACAATCTGAAGGTCAGAAAGTGTTAGGTTTTCCCAGAACACTTGTTTTCTTGCAAAGTTTTTTTCCCACTCTTTTTTTTTTTTTGGAAAACAGATGAAAACACAAAACATTATGAGGCACTTTAGTGAAATGCACAGTCTTTGGGTTGAAAGATGAGATCAGGAGGATTTCTAATGGTGATGAGTTAAATAGGGCTGACAAAAACAGTTTTGATATCAAGAATATGCTTTATGATCATATATATAAAATGATGATTTCAGAATATCGGGGGGGGGAGAGGGGTTGTTAAACATTCCCTAGAAGTTTATCATTTACCTCAGTTCTTCTTTGAAACATGCTGTTCCTGAAAACAGTCGGTCCCTTTGGTGGGATTAGTGCCTGAAGGCCCTTTGAGCCATTTTCTGGTAGAAATCATTTATCATCCTGTGTGTGTGGATTAGGTTTATTTTACATTGTGTCCCCCACAGTGTGGTAAAAACCTGCTATTTTGACGTTGTGGGGACCATTTTTCAGGTCCCCACAAAGATCTGTGAATGCAATTAAAAAAACTAAGTCTCGTATTTTGCTTGGTTATTTATGGTTAAGGTTAGGGCTGGGTAGGGCTTAGGGTCGTCATGTTGGGATTAGAGTTTTGCCCATAGAAATGAATGGAGAGTCCCCACAAAGATATAATTACAAATGTGTGTGTGTGTGTGTGTGTATGGTACTTCCTGTGTGCCTCTTCCCACCCATTCCGGAAGCCTGTGCTTCTTTGCACACTTGCAGCAAGCTCTCCCACGCTGATGTGCCATGTGCGTCACACGCAGCTTTGTCGGTTCCTGCCCCTACCCCCCCCCTTTGCAGCGGGGCTTGCCCCAGTTGCCTTGGAGGCAAAGGGCAAATAGCATGACTCAAGTTTGAGGCTATTACCATAAGCTGAATGGACACGCCTCCCTCTGATGTCATGCAGGTGTCTGCCAATCATGTGCTCTTTATCATTTTTTTAAAGATGGTATTCTCAAACCGACAGAGATCCAGTTTGGGGCTGCAATGTCATCTTCGCTCAAAAAATGACAGGAGCGCTGCTTCAGTGTGCCAGTAGTGTACCGTGCGTAAGCATTGATTCTTCTGTCCTCACCCTAGGCTGCAGCGCGAAGCTTCTTTTGTTCTGAGTTTTATGAGCTTATCCATGCTTCCCTGGGAACTTGTTGGCTTTGTGGCAAAATCAAAGCGACTTCCCGATGCAGAGAGATTCTTGACGTAGCCGCTATGGCCTTGTGAAATCGGTGCTGGTGCGGCCGACTTTGTCAGACTTCAAGTTACGAGTGGTATCGTGGCCAAGAGATGTGACCTTTTGCATTCCAGAGATGAGGATGTGGGCTGTCCAGTGCCGTGTGAATGCAGTTGTAGATGGCGAAACCTTTTGGAACACGAAAAACAATTAAGGATGCCCCTGAGCGACAATGGTCAGACCTGATAGAAGGTGGGGAAATTGGGCTTGGCTCAAATGCCTAGCCCCAAGAGCAGCAGACAAAAACAGAAAGTAGACTTGCTGTGGGGCGATTTTGTGGCTGGTGGGGGCCGGGGGGGCTTTACCAGGTTTGTTCATTTAGTACAGCTGTTGTACTAGCTAAAATTACAGCTCTGACAACAAGTAGGTGCAGAAAATAGGGATCCACCATTATCTGCATTATGGCCTGTCAATATTTACAAAAGAACATCATAAAATTTTACCTGCAGCTGATGGTCTGTTTATATATTATACGCACTTTTGAAAATGTTGTTTTAGACCAGAAATGTTCCTTCTGAAACTGACAATGGTGAACCCTCAGAAGCAATAAGCCTAATAGCACTCTTGTATTGTACGGGCACTGTATCACACTTTATTGTTACCAAGTCTTTTGATTAATGAGACTTGGTA